CTCTCACAGTCCCGATACTGCACTCCCATTGATCAGCTCCTCCTCCGCCTCCCCTCAACCCCGCTCAGCTGTGACCGAGCCAGAAACGCTCCAGTCCCTCTAACTCCTGCAGGATGTACAGCTAGCCTATGTGTACGAGCCATCGGTCAAAAATAACGTGCGCATGTTCATGCACGTGCATTTAGGCATTCTTTTGAAATACAAATATTATGAATGCATTTTTTTACACATTGCAACTTTATTAGGATATTTAAATCACGAAGGTATTCTCTGTTTTATAATTTTCTTGTCACAACAAAATGGCTTTTTGCATGTAAAATTTTTATTTCTTATTTTCCAAGTATTAAAATAATTGTATTTCTTATTTTTTTAATAAATAAATACAAGTATTAAAAAAGTTAATGTTAAAATGTGATGTATAGGCTACATGCGATTAAAAATAATCACTGTTATATTCGAAAACAGTCCATTTACTTTCTTAAAATTGCGATTAAATAAAAGGGTCCCTGGAATCTAAAGAAAAAAAACTCTGGCTCAATAGGCTATTTTTCACTTTGTCTCTCACTTTTGTGTCTTTACAAGAGTCTTTCGGGACGACAATGGCAGTTTGCAGGTGCGCGGAGCGGTAATCGCATCAGAGGTTTGAAGTGATAAATGAGCACTGACCAGTTTGTTCTCAGGATTCCGCAGCGCGCAGGTGAATGGGGGAGAGTGGAGGGATGCGAGCCTGTTGTTTGTTGTTGCTATAGAGACCGCCCGCTCGGCGCCAGGCTGACAGGCGTCAAGGCTCGAATGAATGGGTGACGTCACGGCGCTGGCGCCCGGCAGTCTGCTTGGGTTTGTTTGGACAATCTGGGGGAAGAATCAGAGCACAGCAATGCAAAGTTATGTGAGTGAGTGAGTGTGCGCTCAAGGCGACGCGCACATATGAAGGAATTTGGAAGTTTGCGCGAGGAAACGCATTCAAAGAAAGACAATGAGACGATCTTTGGTGCATGGAAAATAAACAGAAAGAGACACATTTGAATAAAAATGGGATTGTGGCAAGACTCGATTGCACAATAAACCTCAGCACTATACAAGTGGTGCACTTAATGTTGGTTAATGGACTATGACTATTTTATGTGCATACAAAATAGTTTAAAGCTGGTGAAAAAGTAATGATATTTATCATTAACAGTAGCCCAGCATGTAAACTTATAATTAGGCAACCGTTCACAATAAATGTCTTGTGTATTGAAACATGGAATCTCATATCATGAATTGTTGCACCACGACTTTATCAGATTTTATTCAAACCACAAAACAAATATTTGATATTAAGCAACGATTTATTAATGTGTAACTTTTTGGTTTAAAATGCATTGTAAAAGCTTAATGTCAGTGAAGATTTAGAATATTATCAATATTTTAAAAACATTTGTTGGTGAAATAAAAGCCACTGTGGCATAACTAAAACGCATTAAGCCATCTTGTTGTCATGTGACAATAAAATAATACCAGAGATGATCCTTTAGTCACTCATAATGTCAAGGTCATTAAGTTTTACAATGACAAACGATGTGAATGCCTTATTGTGTTTTTTACAATGTATATTGTGTTTTTTTTTTTATTAAAACAAGAAAATGAGACATATTTCGGACTTGTTTTTATCACTTTTGTGTGTGAGGGTGAATAAATGGAAGTGGGGCTGAACTGAGAAAATGCTGTTTACTTTGTAATTCAAAGAAAAAGTTTAGCTGTCAGTTTTACTGACATCTAAAATAAGTTGGTCTCACAAGGTTAGAGGTCTTCATTTAGCCTAGTTAGCACATTAAACGTTTAGCTTTAACGTTAACATGTTACAACATGACAATTTCGTCATTACAGTTCAACTTTTGTCAATATCAACTTGATTTGCTTCATTAGGCTACTTAAATCGAAAGTAAACTTATCACTTCAGATTGTAACTTTTAGTGCAACAAAACAAACTTTCGATTTTAGTGTTTTTTTTTTTTTTTAATAATAGCTTTAAAAAAATGTTAATAGCAGAATGTTTGGAAAAATAAAAAACATTCAGTTTGTCTATAGTCACGTTTCATCTTCAGATATTTCTGATAAATACATTAGGCCTAACAATAACAATGAATAGCATATAAACAAACAGCAAAATAATTGTAAACGTCTAGTGTAGCCTACATTGAAATATCTATAGGATAAAACCGAGGTTAATTCATGTCCCATTAAATTAATAATCAAAATAAAATAAGTTAAACGTACAAGTAGTTTTAATTGGTTAAAGTTTGTTTCATTTATTATTAAGGTTATTTTCATCTAGTGATGTTCGCAAACTCTTTCTAAACTCCATAATTCCGCTTATTTTTACGCATCCCAGTATTTAAATGGCGGGTAGCGGAAGGGTTAAGTGTTTTCCGAGAAAAAGGCAGTTCGTTATAAGATTTATTCCGTCTCCCTGGTGCAATGTTTTTCTCATTTCCCTGCGGTGTGATGCGCGCAGCTGCAGGCCTCGCGATGTGCGGATCGGCCAGTGTGTGTGATTGTGTTTGTGTGATCGCTTTGTGCCAAGGGCAGGGGAGGGCGCAGACTGAGCGGCGCCGCCGCACACCTGGGGAAGTTCAGGTTAAATCGCTCCACATTCCTCGGCACACAGCTGATTGAAACATTAACAAACAGTAATCCGCAAGCCCGGGCTGCAGATGGGCCGGGAACACGGCCAAGGAACTCTCACTCCCTCTGTATAGTTTCCCACATAGCCTACTACAACGAAAGCTTCTTTTAATAAGAATTTAGCGCATTTAAACATAGCGCCACACACTACAGCCAACTTTTCCACTAGAACATCAAATAAAGCTCAACAGCAGGCGCTTTGAAAACAGCAGACAAAGGGAACACGCTTGTGTGTTTTGGGCTTGTGTGAAATACTTCAAATTAATTTATGTAGCCATAAAGTGTTTTCCCTCCTAAATGAAGGCAATTTTATGTTAATTCAGAGGCGTTTAGCCGAAGCATGTTTGTTTGTATCTAGGCCTACTGAAACTTCACTCAGACAGACTTGACGAAAAAGTGATTGATAATCTGTAGGCTAAATCAATTTTTAGTAAATTATTAGGCTCGTAGTCATTGGATGCTACTTACGCTCTATTAATAATGAGGTAGACGAAGACAATCTTTTTTTCAAGGATAAAGCTCGTTTTGTAGCTGTGAAGATGGACATTTTAGCCTCTTGCGCCGCTCTGTGGAAACACGGCGAACTTTATTTTCACGTCATGCCAAAAAACATGGACTTTCCATTGATTTATCACTAGCAATATTTTCTGTACCTTAACCTACACAGAAACCTTTTTAGGTATTTAGGTTTTAACTAAATTCATATTTGGTCACGTTAGGCCACCTGAACAGTTCGGAGGTAGGCTAAATGATTTTAAGTTGCCTTACATCGTGGGGACAGACTCAGTTAAACGTGACATTTTGAAGCAGAAAAACAGAAATAGCTTTTTCTTACTCAAACAGTCTTTGTTTTATTTACAACCTACAACAATCTTGGTTTTATGAACAAAAAAAATAATGTACTAACCGTCAAAAACATAACCTGTTGATGTATGTAGAGAGGAATATGAGTTGAGCCTGTCAAATAGTGAAGAGTGCTTCAAGTGTTCTCAAAAGCACGTTCAACGTTGCACTATATTCTGATATATTTTCCACAATATGGCCAGGTTTAGCCAAGATTATTATATTTAACTTAGAACTAAAACCATAAGAAAAAATGTGTTACTTGAAATAAAGTAAACATTAACTTTAACATCAACTCACTTCAGTTAGTTCCCAAGACAGCATTTCTCATTTTCGTTTAGTTTAACTTGATGCACTAAAATAGCTCAAACTAAAATTTAAAAACAGGCAGTAAAAAATAAAAATAAAACAACAAAATTACTTAAAATAAAAATAAAAAAATGGAAAACAAAAATGATTCAATATATTTAAAAACTATAATAGTATCTCTGTAATACTTAAACAACACTGGTCTGTACACACACGTTTACTGAGTTATCCAACTCTCTTGGAGTTATCTAGACTTTAGTTTTTATATACAGCTAGTAATAAATACTCAAAACTAACTTTAAACAAAAACCTCTTGCATTTTACCATTGAAAAAAAAGAGAAACAAAACAAAACAAAACGTTATTTTCTTAATTTTATAGTTTTAACAAATTTATCTCACTTCTGGGTGCCCAAAATAAATAGACACACACACACACACATAGGCCTGTCACGATAACAACTTTTTGTTGTGCGATATATTGCCCCAGAAATAATTGCGATAAGCGATATTATTGTCATTTTAAGGACCATTTTATGCCACTGAATATATAATCATAATGTAACAGCATAATAATGCAAGAAGGCCTACACACTTCCAAATGACAACAAACTTTACATTTTTAAGAATATTTAGATCATGGAAATTAAGTATCAAAATATTAGATACCTTTTAAAAACCTGAATAAATAGTAAATAAATATTTTCTAACAAAAAGTGCAAAGTAACAAGTAGAAAAAAATAAAAATGCACAAAGAACTTGTATGGAGATTTTCCCGACCTTCTTTTCTCTGTAAATTAAGGGTTCACACTATTGCTGAAAACACAATCCCTACTTAGCAGTCAGATGTCCGTATGCACAAAGGCACAGATCCCTAAACAAGACCATATCTGCAGATGAAACTTTTTTTGCAGAAGCATTTTTTAAATTTGAACTAGCACCTCATGACTACACCTTGTTATTTACAAGAAGCTGCAAAAGACACAGGCGCAAGTGGAATGTACAAAACATGGTGACATAAATGTTTAAGTAAATATAACGGGTGATATATTGCGTCACCAAAAATTATTGCAGTCATGTACATATATTACGCTATAAGTCGATATATTGATTATTGCGACAGGCCTACGACACACACACAGAGAGAGAGAGAGAGAGAGAGAGAAACTATATGGAATACATGTCACGTTTAAATAGAACTTTTATTTACAACAATATCAACATCAAGCAAAATAATTAAGTGTATTGTAATTTACATCCTGTAAAATGTGAGCTTATCTTCCGTTCACACCCCTCAGTCAACCAGTTCTGAAAACACTCCACAGTAACCTCAATTTCCCGGAATAATCATTTCAAAATATACTCTGTCACAATCAACAGTAACCTAGCGAAATTAACACAAATGATAGTGTTGCTTTCCTGAAAAGACTGATGTATTATTAGTTTCCCAACTGTATTTCATTCCCACATCTGGGAATCAGCACTATTTGAAGTCACTGATGGTAAAGACTGGACTACTACATCCAAGAGGCTCTTAAAAGTGGTTTAAGAAAAGTTTTAAAACGAGGTGTGTAGTTACAAGTTATAAGTCTTGGCAGTTCTGTAGATAATTCATAATCATCAAAATCTAACAAAACTTAAACTGAAGAGCGAATAAACCGCATGATAGAGAAACCCTCCAAAAGCACAGACAATACTGCTAAAATATTAACTGGCCTCAAAAATAAACAGGTATACTTGGTTTTGTATGTATACAGTATATAGTACAAAATCATAATATGTAGTAATATGTTCATATGATATGTACCTTTTACTCCGCGCATTTGCGCGAAAACATGTAAATGGATACATTTCTGTAATCAAACTTGAGAAAACAGGAAAAAAAGACTGAAAAAAAAACATCTTTGGATTGTGCATGTTTCTTAAAGGTAGATTTCTGAAGAACCAACAGTATGATACAGTGAGAAAAGTGAGTAATTTTCCTTATTAAGAGCTAGCTCAAAAAGCAACAACAAACATAATCTTTGCGTATCATCGGAAAACTTGCACCATTTTTTTTTTTTCGGTCAGGAGTACAAATGGAAATGAAAATAAAATTATGAAACCGTCACTGCATAACATGTTAGTGATGTTAGAAATAGTGCCATCCAAACATAATAGCAGTCACTGTTGGAAAAAGAAAAAAGAAAAAAAAAGAAAGAAAAAGAGGCTGTGCTGGAAAGGATAAAAATAAAATATTTTCTCCCTTTGACAAAAGTTAAAATAGATGTAAAACCCAGAGCAGTACTGACCTAAAATATAGATAAGATGGACCTAACCGGGCCCAAACGCTGTGCAAAAAAAGTATGTAGTAAAAGCATGTATGATACATATGTAGCAGACAGTATTTACAATTCTAATCTTATTCACACACAAAAAAAGAAAAAAAATCCTGTCTAATACTGCAGTACCATTTGCTTTTTGTTGACACACCGCTTTGAGCCGGTGGCATTGAGAGGAGGATTATTGCTTTGATATGCGCAAGTGATGAAGTTCTGGTGTTTACAATTCCCACGGTTTTCTTTAAAACGAGGCTTGTCCGAAACAAATTCAAAATGGACAATATGCACATAATTGTTCTATAAGGCTAGAAAAGCAAGAAATATATTGCAACTATCCTTTTCCGTACTAGCCTTAAAATAAAGTGCTCCCCCACACTGTCGAGTTGTACCACAGCCATTCCTACTCTGATCCCCCTGGTGGTTATGTTGTGTACTGCAGTACAGCCACATGGGACAGGAGAGAGCCTGCTGCACTCGCTACTGGGCATATTCAGAAAGAAGCCCACAGAGAAGGCTTGAGTCTCTCTCTCTCTCCCGTTCCATGTCTTTCTCTCTCTCAGTCAAGTTTTCACTGGAGATTTCCAGTGATTTATCCCCTACTAGGTGGATTTTATAGCTTCGTGTTGACATTTCCTCACTGGACTGATGTGTGAGTCCCGAGTTCGAATCCAGCTTTGACAGAGATGGCTCATCTCCTCAGCAGTACTTCTGTAAAACGCATATTATACGTGCGCAGATAAGTAAAAGTAACATATTGCATCTTTTAGTGCAGTTAAAGAAGACCTCTGGCCATGTTTCTTCATCAAAATCGATTAGCAAGATTTAGCATTACATGACTTGCTCACCAATGGACCCTCTGCAGTGAATGGGTGCCGTCAGAATGAGAGTTCAATAAAAATATCACAATAATCCACAAGTAATCCACAGTACTCCAGTCCATCAATTAAGGTCTTGTAAAGTGAAAAAGCTGTGTATTTGTAAGAAACAAATCCAAATCTGCATTTTATCTTTAAACGGTCACTTCTGGCCAAAATACCAGTCTGTATAATAACCCTTCCTCCGATAAAAAAAAAAGTCCAACCCCTGTTGTCCTCTCATATCAAAATCCACCCACATATTTGTTTAGAACAGTGTTAGACTGTTTTTGCTTGTAAACAGTGTTTGGTCTGTGCACATTTCTCTCTTGATTCAGATTCAAGTTTTTTTTTACTGGAGAAAGCAATATTATGGCTAGAGGACTCTCTTTTTTTTTTGTAAAAATGTCTCGATGGATTTGTTTATTACAAACATGCAGCGTTTCCCTTCACAATATGTTAACTGATGGACTGGAGTCATGTGGATTATTGTAATGTTTTTATCAGCAGTTTGAACTCTCATTCTGACGGCACCCATTCACTGCAGAGGATCCATTGGTGAGCAAGTGATGTAATGCTAAATTTCAGTAATTAGTGTTGATGAAGAAACAAGCTCATCTACATCTTAGATGGCCTAATGTAACTAAATCAATGCAATCTGTACCTGATCGGGTCCCATTGGCATGCGTCCCATACCCATGGTGTTCATGCCCATCTGGCCCTGCATTGGGGGCATCTGTCCTGCACCGTTGCCATTTACACCTCCTTGCATGGAGCCGTTCATCATCATTGCCCCATACTGTCCCGGCGCCCCCTGCTGGGGATATTGCTGCTGCTGCGAGTATGAACTAGGAAACAGATAAAACAGGATAATAATAAAATTAAATTAAATACACCCAATATAAAGATGAACTCTATTAAAGGCCATGTACTAAGGACTATTGTGACTGACAGGTTGATTTTACTTACTACTTGACAGTGTTCCACACAAGTCTATTTGTAGTATTAATTTTTTCCTTTTAAAATATTAGTTTACTATTGATATTATTTTTATTTTGAATTACCTTTGATGTTTATATCTTTAATTATTATCTTTTAGATGTAAATTTAGCTTTAATATATTTTTATTTCAGATATAACAATAAAAACACAGCTTTTGACTGTTTTCTAGCTGGTTAAATTTTATTTTATATCTGACCATAATTTGAAAATCTTATTTATATACAATAGTGTACAGTAATAAAACAAAAATTAATATTAAATATTCTTTTAAAGAATATTAAATATACTTTGTACCACTGAATATTCTTTACTTATACATTTGTTTGTATATTTTATGTGCTTTTTTAACTACAGTAATTTCCATAACATTTTCATGACTAATTGTAATCGTAATTTCATGATTTTTGTAATTGTAACTATTTTTCAAGACCTGAAGGCAAAAATTCACTGACATTTCCACGGTGCTATAGAAGGTTTTATGACTTACTTATTCATGGGCATAGGCCCCTGTCCCCAGCCTTTCATCTCTGCAGACTGGTACATGGGATTGCTCTGAGGGTGCTGTTGCATCATGGGATTCTGAGGGCCACCCATACGGCCAGACATCATATTATTAGGGGGGCTGCTGCCTGTTGCCACAAATGAAGGATCCCCCTGCTGGCCTATACCTGGAATCACAACCCAGAGACATTTATAAAAAGAAAGCAACAAGAAAGTGCATAGCGTGTTAATCAGCAATCAATATACCCAAGCAAATTGCTATTCTATTCCAATTATTTTATCCACCATGTGTCATTACTTGTTATTTTATAGTACATTTTTCAAACTACAAGATCCCAATAACTAGCCTACCATAGCTGCCTCCATAGTTAAAGGGCTGCTGGCCGGGCTGGGTCATTGGTGGCCCTCCCATAGGGTTGTCCATTCCTGTGGGAGCTGTGACATTAGGAGGGGGACTGAAGCCTCCGGCTGCAACCTGCTGCTGTTGCTGCTGTTGCATCATCATCATCATCCTCTGTCTTCTCATCTGTAGAAAGGGAGAAAACAATGGTTAAACATTTTACATAAGACACTGGTTATGATCAGTCTTACATAAAATCTTATACTTCAGTTACATTGTCAATGGGGGTTAAGTATCATATATGCAATTCCACATCACTGACAGACACACAAATGCATATTTTGAAAATGATCTATTTATACCTCTGTTTGAAGATTCATCATTTCTCTGCTGCGCTGGGCCATCATCTGTGCATTCAGGAAACCAGGCTGAAAGATAAAGGAGGGATGATATTAGAGAGAGAAAATGAACACGTATAAGGCTTCAGATATCATCAAAAGATTAAAAAAAGGTACCTGGCCGCCCATGCCTGACTGCATGCTAGGTCTCATGCCAGGGTTTCCTGCAGGGTTGTTATCTGGCCTCATCCCCATGCCCTGCCTGCTCTGGTTCAAAAACTGTAGCAAAGGAACAATCAAATGTTATGAGACATGCTAAATGCTAAAGTTTTCCTTTATCCAAATAATAAAGTGATTTAATAAATTATTTGTGTTGAATCTATTGTTAATTTAGAACCTAAAATGTATGTTTAACAACATATATCATTGAATCAGCAGATATCTAAACCCAGCAACAGCAACGTTTAATCACTGTTTTGGATGTTCTGTTCTGGAAGTATATTAATGTCAAATGCCTTTTAAAAAAAAAAGCACTGCTCTTAATAAAAACACCACTTTTTCTGCAATTCCTAAATGTGTTTGAAATTGCATTTAAATTTATACCACTGAAACTGTGGAGCCAAATTTGTAAAGTGAAAAATTACAAGCAAACATTACCAGTTTGGTATTTAAAATTAAAAATAATATTTTGGAACTAAACTTTGGAAGGCAAATATTTATTACTAAATATTGTGAAATGTTTGAAATATTCACTGTTCAGCTGCAGTCCTCAAAAATGCAAAAATAACAAATATATATTTTTTAAAGATATTTTTATCATCAATAATCTTCCATTATATGGTTAAGCTACAAAAGAAAGCTCACATTAAAAACATTTAAATTTAAGTTAATTTTTTTAAATACACATCCAAAAAAAAATTTCAGCAACAAGACCTAGTATCTAATCAATACTGCCTTATAATTTTATAATGCTTATAATATTCACTATTTTTTATCATTTTCACTATTAACTGTTATTAATTAGTAGTCACAGCCCTACATTACTCAAAATAATATAGCTAAATATATTCTGGGACACTATAATTTCTAAAATGTGCATCAGCTGCAATATCAGGTTATTCGATTACACTTCTACATTGACCACTCATATTTGTGTCTTTTACAGAAATTATAAGTTGAGTGTTATTGGCGCGCAGCTGCTTGCCTGCTGTCCCTGCAGTCTCTGCTGCAGCTGGTATCTGGTCGGATTCCCCATCCGTGGCCTTGTCATATTAGCACGAGGGTGCATACCGCCCATACTGCCCATTCCGGGGAAGCCACCCTGCTGGTTCATCTGACTCATCATGGGGTTAAACCCTGGTCCAGACTGCCCTGGCATGGGACCAGGTCCAGGACCACGGCCATATCCACCCTGCATTCCCATGGAAGGGGGGCCCGGGTAGCCCTGCCCATACATGCCCTTGGGGTCCATACCCATAGAGGAGTCAGGTCCCGGACCATGACCAGAGAAGGGGTCTGTCGGAGGGGGCTGGTCTGAACTATGACCCTGAAGAGAGAATAGACCAAGACGGTGGTTTTCAGTGAATGTGACTGGGCAGCAGCTCTAACATATTCAACACCACAGCACTGAGGGTTGTGATTTATAAACTGAACGCATCTCTTCCATGAAGCAGACTGGCTGGGTACCTGGTTGATGAGATCTGGTATGCCAAGGGCACGGTCGATCTCCTCCAGAGCGATAACGTCAGTGTTGTTGAGTAGAGAGTCCAGCTGGTCCAGCAGAGCTCGCTCATCACTCTGACCCTCAGTGGTAGACGGAGGGACCAGTAGGTCATCCAGAGAGTTATTAAATGGCAGCCTGATGTATAAAAAGCAGACAAAAAGGATGTTATTGACGTGTGTAAAACCATCAAAACATCCTTAAAACAAGATTAATTTATTTAACCTTAATCCTCAGATGAACACACTTGTTTTAATTAGGTACTTTTTTTGGTTTTAAGAATAAATCAAGTAAAAGTTTGTTAAAAAAGGGAAAAATATGATTATAATAGATAATTTGATCAAAATATGGTTAAAAAACAAAGTTAATTTAAGTCTATGAATCATCTACAGTAATAAATTGTTTTAATTGTCAAATTATAAAAACAGCCACTTGCTGTTTTTATCGTTCATGAATGAATCAGTTGTTTGAACAAATGAGTTTAATGAACGACTCAATGACTCAAGACAGTGACTTCCCACCAGTGCTGTAATGCTGTTACGTAATTTAATTACAAAATAAATGTAACTGTAGTCTGTTACAGTCACTGAGAAAAAAAAATGTGTAATTAAATTACAGCTGCTTATGAAAATGTTAACGATTACAAAGGGGATTACATCTGAATATTAAAAAAATTATATATATTCATTTACTAAATGCTTGTTTAAAAAAAAAAAAAAAAAACTAACACTAGCTTCTCTATTTTTTTGTATTGTATCTATTTCTTTTCTTTTTATTTATTATACAATTAACAAAAGCAAAAAAGGCCTCTAACACTAGCTTGCCCTATTCTTTTTCTATTGTATCTGTTTTCTTTTTATTTATTATATAATTAAAAAACAACCTTGCTACGTGTACTGCGTTAAGCTAACTGAGCTCTTTTGTTGATTTTGATTACTTCCATTGTCCTCATTTGTAAGTCGCTTTGGATAAAAGCGTCTGCTAAATGACTAAATGTAAATGACTAAATGCCTCACTTATGTTACCTGTTTGCATTCTGTGCTCCCTCCATTCTCATCCCACTGTCTGGCCACGAAGGGGACTGTGGTGGAGGTGCCTGCCCACTGAACGAATTTATACCCATTCCTACATCATAAGGCCCTGCAAAAACAACATCATGCAGTTTGAAAGATTTAATTGGATGTTTTATCTGTCGTAATAGGCCCACACTGCTGGTATTGAGTTAACAGAACTTACCCATATCCATCAACTGCTGCTGCAACATAGATCTGGTTGCAGGAACGCTGTTTGATCGGTTAACGATGGGTCCTCCCATCATGCTCTTGGGATTGTGGTCGATGCCTGTGCGACCCATGCCAGGGTGTCCGACAGGGCTGCCGGAACTGGACATTCCCCAATCTCCTGCACTTGCCATGGGGGGACGATTGGGCATTCCCATTGGCCTGTTTGGACCTCCTGGGAAAAGCATGTTGGGAATGTTAAAATTCAGCTAAAGAATGAATGCATGTAGAGTTGTAGCTACATAAAATTAAAGCTGAATATATGAGACACTCACCCATGCCTATCTGGGTGTCAGTATGCTCCTGTTTGACAAGAGAGGAAGGGGCTCTCCTCCTACCAGTCATGCCCGGACCGCTCAAGGGTTTACCATCGACAGACACAGCCCTCTGGAAGGGCACACGTTGACCAGAGCCCATACAAACACCCTCCCGGTCTGAAATACACAGCAATTCATACAAATTGCATTAAGAATAAAAACACAGGGCAGGTTTTGTTGGTCATCCTCATGGTCATCAGCAGTTACCTGCATAATATATGCCCAATATATTTTCTATTAATCTTTACATTCAATTTTCAACATCCCCTTCCTGACTTTTGAGGCCCTTAAGGTGTTGTTACTCACCATGTGCGGTGCTGTTAGGTCCATTGCCCTGCTTATTGCCCCCTTCCGTTCCTCCAGTTCCAGAATCAGCAAACATTCCAGAACCAGAATTCCTCAGCCCTCCGAGAATACTCTCCAAATTATCCAGCTGGAAAAATAAAACAAAGGATTGGTCTTAGAATGATAAATAAGTAATTGCAAATTTGCATGAGAGTTCTGCATATCAACAGAACAATTTAATAACTGCCAGTATTTTTCAAAATGTGCAAAGACAGTCTCAAGTTGTTTATAAAACTACAGCTGAGATTTTTAAGCAATGACTTAAGGCTTTTTAAAATATAATAAATTATAATATCATGTTGAAAAGTATTTTTAATGCAATATGTATTGCAATATGACCAAAAAACAGATATATTTACAAATATTACAATTCAACAAACATATTATTACAATTTAAAATGATTGTTTTCTATTTTAATATACTTCAAAATATAATGCATTCCTTTAAATGGAACTTACTTTGGATTCTTTCTTTTAGATTCTTTGATGAAAGTTTATTTGAAATAGAAAACTTTTGTAACCTTATACAAGTCTTTACTGTGACTTGTTCAGTTTAATGCATCCTTGCTGAATGAAAGTATTAATTTATTTTAAAAATTAGTAGTATTATATATTACATTTATTTATTTAGTTAAAAATATGTATTTATATTTATTATTAGATTAATCCCAAAATATAAGACTGATGTGATCTTGAGAAGTATAGAAATATGAACCCAACATGAGAAGTACTTAAGCAGTATGAATTAACCATAAATACCTCATCGGGAGGTTCGATCTTGACTTTGCCCTCCTGGCTGTTAGAATTTGAGGTTGTGACCCCTGACCCCTGCCCTCCAGTGACCCCTCTCCCTTCCAGCTCCTCCAGCTTTGACTTGACCTCTGCTGCATTGGGCTCTTTGGAGTCGTCCTTATTGAGGAGGTAGTGAAGGAGGGCTTGTGGTTTTTTTCCTTCTTTCGGGCTGTGCTGTTCCTGCTTGAGATCTAGATTCCTCCCCTCAGCACCTGGGGGCTCTGAACCAAGAGAGGACTTACCAGTGGCCTCGGCTGTAATGCGAGCCACCTCGTCGGGAGTGTTTCCATTTTGAAGAAGTTTGTGGAGTATCTTGTGTTTCTCCTGTAAGGTGTGAGAACTGTGGTAGCCACCGTGACAAGCCGTGGACGACACTCCTCCCGAGCCTTGCTGATTTACGTTATTCCCCGATAATGAACCAGATGAGGAGGACACTCCCGTCGATGAAGGACTCATCATGCCACTTCCTGCCTCCTTTGAGTCAGGACCCATTGGAGTGGAGGCACAACCTGGGACAGGTCCACCAGACCCAATCTCTTCAGTTGGGGATGTGAGCAACTGAAGTAACTTCTTATGGCCCTTTCCATCAGGGACTCTCCGGTTGGCTTCGGCCGCAGTGGAAGCATCCTTGCTGGACTGACTGTCCGGTTTATCCGTGGTCTCCGATGAAGAAGCCTGTTGCTGCTCTAACCCTGTGCTGTGAGCACTTGACGGGCTCTTGGAATCCCCAGAGCTGGGTTTGCTGTTGCCGGTCTGGCCTTGCTGGCTTGACTGGGTCGAGTTGATGCTGGGAGAGCTGTCGGATTTGTGGGCAGGTGAGTTGAGAGCTGAAGGTAGAGAAGAGCCAACGCCTTCACTGATGGCCTGGAGAGCATTCAAAGAACTATTGGTGAAAGTGTTGCCACCTGATGGACCAGAAGATCCACCACTGCCGCCCATTCCCACAGGACCCATGGGAGAGTGCATGCCTGTGAAATCAAGAAAATATAGCTAAATTTTGAGCTTATTCTCAAATTAAGCACTAATAGAGACAGCACAACTAGTATATTTCATTAGGCCATTAGAATCTTTGCACATTTTCTTTAATGGTTGAAAGGAAAGATCTGCAGATTTGATTTAAATGCAACCAAATTAAAATAGCCACCTTATTATTAATGTAAGAGCACCCAGTGTCATTTACTACCAGTTATTTTAACTATGTGGCCTGATCTTGCAAACTACTATTTATCATATTATTTCAATCAATATTGTAATTATAAACACATTGGTTTGTTGCGCAATAGTTTTGCCATTTACTGCATTCTTCTAGTTTTGCCATTTACTCCCTTCCTGTCCTAGCTTTTACTATTTTTAACAATGACTGAAACCTTGTATAACGGGTACTTCTTTGTGTGTTTATTGCCATCTTATGGTAAATCTCTTGACGTATTCCTCAAATGTAAGTTGCTTTGGATAAAAGCATCTGCCAAATGATTAAATGTAAATGTTCTTAAGTATATTGGCTAATGAATCGGAAATCGCACATTTTCAGTAAAAGTTGGACAACTGCTTAACAACTTTGACAAATCCCTATTTATGATCAGGTAAGAGAATTATATAATTAGATAAAATATTTAAAGGGATAGTTCACCCAAAAAATTAAATTCTGTCATTAATTACTCACCCGTAAGACCTTCGTTCATCTTCGGAACACAGATTAAGGTATTTTTGATGAATTCAGAGAGCTCTCTACTCTCTCTGAGAGTATCACATACGTAAACAACATATGCAACGCATGTACGCGGATACATTGTTTACGCTTTGATTTGAACGTAAACAACATATCCGCATACATACGTTGCATACGTTGATTACATATGTGATACTCTCCAAAATGGCGCCAGGATGATGCAGAGGAGACAAATTGTTGAATAAAGTCGCACAAAAAGTATTCTCATAGCTTCGTAAAATTACGGTTGAACCACTGATGTCACATGGATTATTTTAACGATGTCTTTACTACGTTTCTGGACCTTGATCGTGTTAGGATCCTTGCTGTCTATGGGAGGGTCAGAGTGCTCTCGGAATTCATCAAAAATATCTTAATTTGTGTTCCATAAATGAATGAAGATCTTACGGGTTTGGATCGACATGTAGGTGAGTAATTAATGACAGAATTTTCATTTTTGGGTGAGCTATCCCTTTAATAAACAAAAGCACAAGGTGCCTGGGATGTTTAGAACTTTGGAAGTGACATGTTTGATTCTGTGGAACTGAATGGAGCGGTCTATGGAATTCTGTTAGATTCCACAGGCCTAATCTTACATCCATCTAATCCTAAATGCAAAAACAGGACACTTACCTCCAGGTGAGAAAGGACTTGCACCCATTTTAGGACTCCCTCGTATCCGTGGTGACCCCATGAGATTCTGCTGAGCAGGGTTCATACCAGGGCTTCCTTGGGAGGGACTTGTCATGCCCATTCCATAGCCACCACCGTGAAATTGACCCTGCTGGTGCTGATTCATGCCGGGATGGCCCATCTGATTCATGGAGTTCATCTGATTCATGCAATTCATCTGATTCATTGAATTCATCTGGTGCATCGGGTTCATTTGATTCATCCTGTTGCCTGGGCCGTACATAGCTCCTCTGGGTCCCATGTGACCTTGCTCGTTCATGCCATAGCCTCTGGTATTGCCCATGCCCATCTGGGCATTCGGATTGGCATTGCCCATAACTGATCGCATTACACCACCCTGATTGGGTCGGTATCCATTTTGCTCCCTGTGTGAAAGTGATTGAAATATAAGTGAAGGCGAGGAGAACACAGAGGCCTTTTCATGTAAAATCAGAGTAGTGTATAACTGTTGACTTGGAGAGGAACAAACCTCTGCAGAAGATGAGTAGAGAGGAAAGTGAGCGGGTCATTGGTGACAGGGTTTCGGCAGAGCTCACTTCGCGTTTGTGCTGTTACTGGAGTGCCATCTGACAAAGAGAACCGATAGGGTGGAGTCTCTGCTCTACCATGAACATATGCTGAAAAGAAGAAGAATACAAACAACATTAATAAAACATGTATTCAATCTGTCAAACCCATTTCACACCGCATGCAAAAGCAGCCTGTTTTTATTTCTGCCATATTAACAACTTACAGAATTCACACTTCTATTTTGTCTTTCAACATCATTTGTCAAGTACATTAAGTAATTTACTTAATTTACACAATTAATTAAAGTAAAGATTAAAGCTGAGAAATACTGAAAAGATCCATGCAGGTGTATTACCACATACCTTCATGATAGTGTCTCTTGTAGGACCAGGGTTGACCCTCACTGCGATGCAGGAACATCTGCATACACCTGCGCACTAAATCCTCCCAGCCAGGACGCATGGTGGTGTGCAACAGGCTCTGCTGCTCGATCTCGATCAGTTTACCTGGGGTCAAACATACACACTCAGATGTGGTACAACACCGAACTCATATATAATTTGATTATATTATATATAATCATTATATAATGATTAATTTAAATCATTTTTTTCCTCAATCGGTTTCAAAGTTTTGTCTTCTATTTAAACATTTTCAATATTTACTAATTAAATAAATTCAACATTTCTGCTAAATAATGTATATTTATATTAGTGCTGTCAAACGATTAATCGCATCCAAAATAAACGTTTTTGTTTACATAATATATGTGTGTGTACTGTGTATATTTATTTATGTGTGTATATATATATATATATATATATATATATATATATAAATACACTTATATAATTTATATTAGACAAATATATTTAATATATAAACATTTTATTTTCAAAATATATGCTGTATGTGTGTGTATTTATATATACATAAAAATATACACAGTACACACATATATTTTGTAAACAAACGTTTATTTTGGATGCGATTAATCGCTATTAATCGTTTGACAGCACTAATATATATATATATATATATATATATATATAGTATGATTCATTACATATTGTACATGTTGTATAAAATGTTGTCGTTAATATTTAGAATTCAAGTCATTTTAATTAATATTGTTCAATTATTGTCATGATGAATTTTCGTCTTGTCTTCAGAGAGAAAAATCAGTTTCATTGATGAGATTAACACTTAAAATTTAAAATTTAAAAAGTTAAAATTGCACTGTAATCAATTTTACCTGACAGTTCGTGTCTAGTACTGAATCGTTCTGTCCTTTCCACTGCCGTCACTCTCCGTGCTACACAAATCATACAAGACTGCAGATCTGACAGACAGAAAGAAGAAAAACACCCTTAATACTTTAATGCTAATTCACAAGCGGCACTATAAAACAACGTATATCGACTTCAATCTGTATAAAAGTACTGAAATTATAAAATCTAAATTTACTACAGACCTTCCCCTTCCTCCATCATTGCTTTAGGCTGTGTGAGAGCGAAACATTGCATGGTCTCATAGCGAGGCCCACCGGTGCCTTCTTCACCTCCAGGACCGCCACGGCCAAACTTCACCAGCATGCGACAGTTAAATGTGTGACTCTTCTGACGGGAGGCATCACCGCCCCATGACACACTGTTGGGACCTTCAAATACATACAAAATGCAAGATGCTCATGAACTTAGTCATATCTATCTGCTTATGTTTTAGTGAACAGATAAAGAGCAACATTTACTTAAAAGATATACACTGACATATATACCATTGTTTTTGGGCAGGTGTTTATGCAGTTCGTCTCGGTCTTCCTCATGCAGTATGTTGTAGATGCTGGTGCTGATCAGCTCCTCCTGTTTATACTGCAGGTACTGAGTCACATTATCTGACACAAACACAATGCTGCCTTCACGACTCACCACAAACAAAAACCCATCCAGAGCCTGACAGAGAGAGAGAGAATATAAAACACTTTAAATCATAATCGGGAAGAATGCTAGAATGAGAAGTGAGCAAATGAGCTTCTGGTGACCATTGACCTAGGTCTCTAATCTTACCTGCAGCAACAGAGGGCCCAGATGGTCCTTGTCGATGACCCCTTGACCGGTAGAGGACACATCCGCCTTCTGGACATCATCATCGCCACATGAGCTTTTACCTGTGAAGCGTGTGAATACAGACCACATATTAGAAACATTTTAGAAAAATAAACAGCTGTAAAGAGGTTTTTTTTTGTGCAATACAATTTTTGAAAGGTAGTGTTAATGCATATTTGTCTCACCATATTATAGCAAGGGAACAGCAGAAAAATGGGTCTGCTTATTTTGATATGTAGATTTGTAGGTTTCATTCCCGTAAGACACTATTAACCAATGGAATGTCAAATAAGGAAGAATGAACAACAATGCCTATTCATCGTTTCACCGTGTGAACTCCGGGTTATAGTCCAAATGAAAAAAGGCATGCATAGGCCTGTCTCGCGCAACAAACTTGTGCAGACTACAGTTCTGAATGCAATATATAATTATGTAACACAGGAGTATAATTGTAGAAAATATACCTCAACTCTGATAATTAAGTTACATTTTTCTTTATGGAAAATGATTTACTGATTTTAGTCAAATTAGATTTGCTAAGTTTTGCCGCTGGATAATCCACTCATTCGCATTCATTTACATCCACAGATGTAGTCATATTTGCACTGCACTAAAAAAAGAGATTTTTTAATGTCTAAAACTACATTTTCTATTAGCTAAAACTAGCAAAGGCATTACAAAATTACAAATGTTCACTCTAGTGAATATTTGCAGTATCACAATATTCCACCTGCCACCAGGTGGCAGCGTTTTTATAAAACCGAGGAAATTCATCTGTTTCCCCACACTGTGGGTTTAGTAAATATTTTCTCAGACTGATATGTAAAAGAGCAGTTCGAGCAGATGTGTACCTTGCTCTTTGATCTGTCGTATCTGGCGCACTGTCTCTTTAAGGATGGCACATTTGTCTGGTTTGACATTGAAGCTGTCGATGTCACTAAGGTTGGCCGAAATCAGTTCGGCCAGCTCCTCGATATACTTGCTCTCCTGTTCCCTCCTGCGCTTATCACATCTGTAGATTAAAAACACGCACACAATTTTAGGAAGGAAGAACATTAAAAGACCTAAAACGCTGTTTGTTATCGCACCCTAAAATGTCTCACCCTTGTCCTGGTGTGTCACATGTGGAGAGTTTGCGCTTTCGGTCCGAGCACAACGGCTCAAGTGAGTTCTCACCCACTCCGCTCATGTTTAAAACATATCAGCAGCTAAGAAACATGCAAAGTTTAGATTAGGGGCAGAAAACACACAACCAAAGGCATATTATGATCTCTAAAAGAAAACAAGCACTTCTATTCCACCACAAGTACACTACAAACAAATAATGAGCTGACTTTGGCACTTCTAGACAATGCACTTGAAGGCTTCATATCTTTTCAAACTGTTTTAGTATAAAACTGCAAGTGTGTGTACGTGTCTACAGCTTATTTTTTAAGTGTTCCCACATACAGCTGAATGCGTGGAATGTTCCAGGCCTCAGCAGCGGTGCTGCGCACGCGTGTGTGTGTTTGTGTGACAGTGTGTCTGAGAAGAGACACTGATTATGATGGAGTGAAACGGGGCTCCAGGGGAAATGGATTAACCCTCAGTGTGTTTGTGTGTGTGTGTGTGTATTTCTGTAGCAGGGACTGGGTCAATTATCTCAATCCACGAAGCCGTACGCTGCACAACATATAAATGAAATGTATAAATGATCTAATTAAAAAGCAGACTAATGAATCTGAATTACTCTAATACAGAATTAAAGACAATCTGGTCACAAAACATTCCCTTCAAAATGTATGTCAGAAACATAGTGATATAATGTCCTTCCTCCACACGTCTCATTATGACACACAATCACACCATTTCTTCCTACTTTTACCGTCATTGCTCCGCCCACTTCACTAACGACAACACTTCCTCCTCTTTGGTGATACTTCTCACTTCTCTGCCTCCCTGTGATCATGTCCTTTTTTGTTATTAGAACTGGCCTTTCTGATATGTCGGTCTTCCTTCCAAGTTATGTATGCAAAGACATAGTGTGGCCCAAAATATTAATCGCACTTAAGCCACACTTAAAATGTATGAATGTCATTGCATTAGATACAAAATATCAAACCATTTGGCATTTATTTGAAAGGTGAAGTATGATTTCTGTGCCACTGGTAGGGCTGGATAAAAATATTGATTTTAAAATAGCTTATTTTGAATAGTCCCAATATTGACTTCAATATCACACACAAGCCAATTCTTAAAATGAATGAATCTTATGAGCTGGCTCTTATTAGTGAATCAAAATACAAATTGCTCGACCAGCGCTGTCCGGTTCTTAAAGTGAATGACTCTCATGAGCCAGTTCTTGCTAGTGAGTGAATAAAAAAATAAAATAAAAAAACAGCCAGGGGTGCATTTCCCATACAACGACGTAACTCGCTGATTAACCAGCATAGTACGATGCATTGTTGTTGAAACGAACTAGCTAGTTACGACTGTTTCCCCGAGCACGGTCGCATCTCCGTCGTTTGAACCACATTAGTTCAACAACATAGGGCCATTGTTAATGACGTCACACGCATGTGGTGGAGGAATAACTTCTGCTATTTAAACGATTAGACATCTCTAAGATGCTGCTGTATTGAACATGGCACCTGATGACTATAATTTACTATTTTTTTGTTCCCTGCCATTTTGCTTTATTTGATGTTTGATTCATTGCGGGTTCCCTCTTACGTAGGGGTGTGCGATATTGACAAAAAATAATATCTCGATATTTTCTGGGATTTTATCAATGACGATAATTAGACGATATTTTGCGGAGTGTGTTATTGTACTGGTACCTTAAGGACTGCCGAAGACAGCTGACTCCTAATGTTTTTAATAAAAATACTCGATAATGTCAAATCACACATCGTTAAAACAACAATTACGATATTATCGCAGACGATATATATCGCACACCCCTACTCTTACGTCATACTCTGGGGTTTCCTTAGGTATTTGTGCACATACGCTTTTAGAGGACGCGCTAACATACATAGATTAAAATGCATTTATATTTAGATAGAATGGAATATATAGATTGCACTGCATGGTAGCTTGCTTATTGTGCCCAATAGCATATTTATTTAAGCCCATATCCCTTGCTAACAAGAAACTATGCTTCTAACCACAGGTCGAGAGCTGTAGTTCCAACCACGTAAGTTTGCGACGCTGTTGGCGAATGTTCGTTTGAACTATGGTTTCGGTAAACACCGAATCGTTGAATTATGTTGGTAATGACGGAACTTGCGACCATAGTTGGCTAACGATGCTTTTGGGAAACGCACCCCAGATCAGCATATTCTGATTCTTGAAAGGAATAACTCTTAGAAGTCGGTTCTTTTTAATGAATAAAAACAAAAACAAACAGCCGACCAGTGTAGTCCAATTCCTGTAATTATTGACTCTTACGAGCTGGTTCTTTGACTGAATATTTCAAAATGAGTTACTGGACAAATTAATGAACTGGGAATCGAATCAAATTTAATGAGAATTATATGTTAATCAAAATTGAATCACCACTGGAGTGCAAGAACGATGACCATTTTCCTCAAATTTTTGCATATCTGTCCCGCCCCAAACCCACAGCACTGGTTGAGTTCAATGTTCAACTTTGGTTGAGTATAGATTTTAGCATTTTGAATGCATTTTTATTTGTGGTGTATTTATTATTTATTACTCAAAGCCTACGGTGACTGCACCTTTTTGTGAAATATATCTAGTTAATGCTTTAAACTACATCTGTGGTTACTCTGCTAGGGCATTAATGTGAACTTGACAGGAAATTACTTCATACATTCACTAGAAATCACCTGAAGTAATAACAAAAATGACTCAGAAATGTCAAGTTAGTTCTGTTTGCATTTGGTTTAATATTTTTATCAATTGACGGCATTGAACAGAATAGATTTTTAACTGTGGCTTCAGCGTCCAGATACTATTATGGCGCTTTTCCACTGTGTGGTACGACTCAGCTCGGTACGGCTCAGTACGGTACGGCACGGCTCGGTTCGGCTCGGTTTGTGTTTCCCCTGCAGTTTAGTATTGCTTTAGAGTGGGCGGGATTATTCACATGTCATTATAGTTGCGCCGCCTCTACTGCCGCGACTCCTAAAAAACTTTTTCATTCCGCGTCGCCCCATCAAGCTCTCACTGGATCCTACCGTGCCGTACCATGCAGTGGAAAAGCGCCATTAGAGAGTCGCTGTATATAAATGCACACATGGCTGTCTTTCCGTCTCCATTCTTTTCATTCTCTCTGGCTTCTGCTGCTGTTATGAGTCTCTGTCACTCTGGTCATAGACCCTCTGCTGTATGCGTGCATGTAAGCAAGTGTGTTTGTTTAGAGCCCTGACCTTGCCCCGTGCCTGACCCCTCCCAGAGTTCAGCGGAAATCTCGGAGCACAGACCATCGGCTTGCAGTCCTTTCCTCTTCCCTCGCTGAACACACACAAGCAAACAGCCTTTTCCTCTCGTTTAGAGGGATAGTTCACCGAAATATGAAAATTCTGTAATTTACTCACCCACATGCCACATGCTAGACTATTCTTCCTCTTCAAAACATGTTTGTTTTAAAAAAAATATTTTGTACCATTATTTACTTTTAATATTCTTTTATCATTTGTGTCCAACCATTTAAAGCATGTGTAAGCAACATTCTCACATTTCAAAGTTCATGAAGACATCGTAAAAGTAATCTATATGTATTGAGCTGTTCTCAATTGATACAATTGCTTATAACAAACTTTGTTTCATTTAGGATTTAATTAGCATAAACACTGATCAATGCACATAGCGCATCAAATAAGGTAAAGAGAAGCACAAACAAGCTTGCGTGACACCACAAGAGCCAGTGAGGTTTGTCCTCACATGTCAGGCAAACACATTTGAGCTTCCATTTACCATATCAGAGTCTTATGGATTACTTTTGGATGTCTTTATGTACTATCTGAAGCATGAAAATGTTTCATAGACTTTAAATGGATGGACAAATATGTTAAGAATACATTCATTTTTGTTCCAAAGATGAATGAAAGTCATACAGGGTTGGAACAACATAAGGGTAAATGATGACAATTTCTATTTTTAGGGGTGAACTATTCCTTTAAGGAAAACACACACAGTTTGCTCTCGGTCACCTAAAAACTTTATGTATGAGCTCATCATTCCTGAGTCCGACTGAGAGACATTACACAACTGTGCCCATACTGCACTGCCTGTGCTGACACGTACAGCTGTCTATCACAAACCTATAACACACCTGAAAAATGCTGCAGACCCGACTGCATCTTCTCTACTTTTACATCTCTTTCACCCTTTCTATCTCCTTGAACTCCGCAGTGGAATTAAATAAATGATAGGCAATAGGCATACAGCCATTCATGACTGTTAAGGTCAAGGCACCATTCAGATCTAAAGTCACATCTTTAAAGAGACAGTTCACCCAAAATTGAAAATTCTGTCTTCATACATTTACCTTTTTGTCATTCCAAATGTTTTTCCTTCATGGAACATAAAGATATTTTAAATGTATATTAGGGCTGTCATATTCAGTCATTTTTGGAGTCTATCACAAAAGTGGCCAATGGCTTGCATATTCTAATCTTTTAAAGACATTTAATTGCTTTATATGGAAGAGAGACCAAAATTTAAAGGGGTCATATGATGCTGCTAAAAAGAACATTATTTTGTGTATTTGGTGTAATTAAATGTGTTTATGCGGTTTAAGGTTCAAAAAACACATTATTTTCCACATACTGTACATTATTGTTTCTCCTCTATGCCCCGCCTTTTTGAAACGCGTCGATTTTTACAAAGCTCATCGGTCTGAAAAAGCGAGGTGTGCTGTGATTGGCCAGCTATCCAATCGCATCATATGACCCCTTTAACTGTGATGCAACGACGTGCCATATTTAAGCAACGATAAGGGGTTGTGCTTCTGCGCTGCATTCACAATATACACTAAGCTGACCAATCCACATCCAGGACTGAAATATTCATTTTATAATTGAATATGCGTGTACGCAAATGAGATTTGACATTTGGATGCTCCTCAAATAAATAATCACTGGACTTCAGAAAATTTGAATATAGTGAATTAGGGCTGCACGATAAATCGAAATGGAATCGAGATCGCGATTCGACAGAAGCTGCGATTGTCATGCGTATCTTTCAGTGAAGCACGGTT